AAGGTCATTCTTGGCTGCATAGTAAGTTTGAGCCTGGGCTGCATGAGACCCTGTCTCAAAAAGCAACAAGAAACAAATTTCAGTGTTCACAAAGTTTGATTGGAACTCAACTACACAACTATACCAGTTTATCTGTCATCTTCGGCTGCCCTCAAGGCTACCACGGCACAGTACAAAGACTGTGCCGCCCTCAAAAACTAAAGATATTTATTAGTGGCCCATGACAGAAAGGGTCTGTGGATCCCTGAACTGCATTCCAAGGTAGAATGTTCTGTCTCTATCAATAGTTTTTAAAGTGCTTTCAGAGTTGAGCACCGAGGAGGCTAATTTATTTGTCCCCAGTGTGGGGAGGTAGAGGTGATATACAGGTGTGTTCTTTTTAAGATTCAATGCCTGCAAACTCTGACTTTAAAACGGATCAATTAAAAAGTAGTTATTTGCATAACAAAGTTTCCTTTTCATTTTATAAAGGACTTTGCAGGGCTTCTTTGTAGAGCAGTCTCTATAATACATGCTAATATGAATCCATTTACAAATACTCTATTCAGAATAACTTTTTAAGAACCTTTCTATTGTGTACAGAGGGGCTTAGCTATAATCTTTTTTTCCCCTGGCAGCTTAAGTTTTCCTACTTCTAAAAAGTATTTGAGCATCATTGGCTTCATCTGCCCACCTGGAAGATCACGAGTTCTACCAAGCAGTGTCTGGTGCATGTAGTCCTAGCCCACAGAAGGCTGAGGCAGGAGGACTGCTTGAGCCTAGGAGTTCAAGGCCAGACTGGGCAACATAGCAAGACCCTGTTGGTCCTATCTCAAAATAATAATAATGAAGAGGAGAAGAAAGAGGAGAAGGAGAAGGAGAAGGAGGTGGAGGAGGAGGAGGAGGAGGAGGAGACTTGGTTCTAAGTGTCCGTAATCATGTGGCATCAATATTATAATTTCACAGTTTTGCTAGCTTTTCTTGGTGACTGCCCCCAAAGTTCTAAAGTGCAAAGTCTTCATTATTCTCTTCATTTCCTATACACAAGATGAACTAATAAAAATTATATTGACTAATGTCCTGATAATTGTTTTTTTTTTCCTACCCAGAAGGATGGGTAAAGATGTAACTTCAGCGCCCCCCTCCCCCCCCCCCCCCCCCCCCAAATTGCAAGGCATTATGCTGTCTAAATTACTAACTGGGACATGCATTCAAATTAGAGCTGTTCCCAGCAAAATGGGAAGTGGTGTGGCTGATTCCGTTTAGGACCCATCTTCTTCTTTTGTTGGGTCCTGAGCATGAATCTTCGCCTAGCTTTGTGGTGTTATGCAATTGCTCTTTTTAAGAGATATATAAAATGGAAACCTTGGCTATTCATAGCCAATTTAGGAGGAGCTGAAATCATTTAAGAACTTTCTTGCCCAGTACCATTTTGATGATAACTAGGTTCCTGAACAAATCCACTTAATGTGGCTTCCAAATGGAGGTTATTTTAAAGAACTGTCTCACGCCTTTTGTTTTCATCTTGTGGTGACAATGTTTTAGAAGTGGACAAGCCTTCCACATATATAGTTTAAATATTTTTCGGGGTCTTTTTTTTATGGTTGGTAAAAGCAGCTTACACAGAAATGCAAGGGCAGAGAAAATCACGTCCAGGCATTCCTGTGTGGCATCACCCCGCAGTGAGGCAGATCTGTGTCTTGGGGCTGCTAATGGAGAATTCATGAGCGTGCTGCAAAGGGCCAGTGGGAAGCAGAGCTGGCATTAGAGCCGCACAAATGGCATCATCCATAGGGTATGGGGGGGGCTGCTGGAGGCGGCTGGTTGCCCCTGGAGGCTACAGCTTCTCATGCTGTGTGGCAGGTGGCACTTCAGCCATTTCTAAAGCTGGTCCCTGCCAGAGAATACACTTCCATCTGTGAGGTTGTCTAGAAAGGGGTCTCTCTCTTCATCAACCTCAGAGGTCAGAAACCCTGAATTACAAACAGCAGCATTAAGGCATCCTTAGTCAGGTTGTTCTCTCTCTCTCTGGTCTCTCTTTCTCTCTTCCTCCCTCACTCATTCCCTTAATTGTCACTACCAAATTTTTACACATACACATACACACATCACACCACACACACACACACACACACACACACACACACACACACACATTTGTTCCCCAGATGCAGAATGTAGTTGTAGCAAGTATAGATCATAAAACAAATCAATATTTATTGAATAAACTATATTGATAATTCAGTTTTCTTTTTCCCTAGTTGCCACTTTTAAACTTTTCCAAATCAACACTAATGGATAGAGAAGAATTGAGACGTAAAGGTCCCTCTCAATGATCAAACAGAAGACAGACCCTGGGGGTGCCATATTTAATGTCTTCTGCTTCAGGGAGGAGTTTTTGAAGCCCTATGATCCCAGCCAAAAACACAGCATCCCCCACTTTGAACATCTCCCTCCTACCAACCAGCAGTCAAAAAGATTTAATTTCTCAAATGGAGATGGGAGTGAATACATTTTTTTTTTTTGCAAAGTGATTTCATGAAGTGTAGGGCTTGTTTAATTGGGTTTCTGGAGCCAAGATTAATATGAGAAGCTGGGGAACTATGTGATACGCCTGTGCTGCTGGTTCCACCACTCTGCCTGCCTCCTGGGGGAAGACAAAAAAATGACACTATTCAGAAGCAATTTTACTTCTGCCTGGGCCTTCCTACCCAAGTGATTTACAACCAGTCCAAACTCTGCACCCAGGCTTGATCTTCTCAAGCTCAAGGTCACACTGAGAGCAGGCTTTGGATGTTTCTTTTCTCATCTCTAATTTACATGGCTTTCTAATATGTTTAGCATTTGCCATCCCCTTGTCTCCATTCTGCTTATTAAGGTAAATTTGCATGGAAATGGGATTGTGGTTTTCAGGACCATTCATCTGACGCTTGATCTCTCACAGTGACCAAGTGTCTACTGTGGGTACCAGGAGGGTGACCCACAGAAGCCACATCTGCCTTCAAACCAGAGGCAAGGCTTTAATGAGGAAAGGTTTGCATGTTAAGGTAATGGGGTGAATAAATTCAGTAAAAGCATTTAGCCTTAAGGAAGGCGGGCAGAATACTACTTTCTGATGAGTGGGTTGACCCAGGCCACTGACAGGTTAATTTGCCTGAGATGGACAGGTCTTGGAGAAAACACACAAAAAAGAAATGCATTTGTATTGCCGCTGTTTAGAAATAGGTTGTGACTGGTAGGAAAGCTAGGAGAGTTGATGATGACATTTTATTTGGCTCCTGAGCGATCTCTCGCTTGCTATCTGCCTTTGGAGATTGGTAATAGTCATCACTGCAAATTACCTTCGGGAAACAAAGCAGATGTGGGAAGTCTGCATCCTGAGCCCCTCGCTATCACTCTGCCACAGTCGGCTCTAATCCCTGCTGCACTCTGCCACCTGCTGCCGCCTTCCTTACATATCCAAATCTCATTGAGTGGGACGGAAGTTCCCACTGAGAGGGCAATTTGAGGCCCCAGTTTCCTAATCGTTGAAAGCCCACTAGGTCTCAGAGTTAACTTATTAACTCATCCAAAGAGTTTGAGAATTAGGGAAAAATTGAAAACTATAAATGTCAAACCACGGCTTTCCTGATTCTGCCCTGACAGTAAGCTGTCTTAGCAGAGAATCAAAGGATTTGACAGTCCTGCAGACTGAGTGTCACAGTCAATGAGAAAAGTTTATAGGAGGCAGGAGACATCAGTCAAATTTGTTCTGCATATGTCCAGGCTGGGGAAAGATTTGTTGTATAAAATTAGTATTACTATTATTGAAACGGGGTCTCAGGTAGCCCAGACTTGCCTCAGACGCAGTATGCAGTAAAGGATGACCTGAACTCCTGATTCTCCTGCCTCTACATCCCCAGTGCTGGGATCACAGGCCTGTGCCACGTGCCTGGTTTTTGTGCTGCTGGGGGGGGAGGAATCGGGGCTTCACGTATGCTAGGTAAGCACTCTATCAATGAGTCACATCACCTTGAAACTATTTTAAAATATAAACACTCCTTAGCTTTATCTTGCTTAGTATGTGCACCTATTAATTTCATTTCACAACTTGCTGCATGGACTATTAAGATTTCCAGTCTACAGACGAGGAAACTCAGAGTCCCAGAGGTTTAAATATTTGTCCAAGATCAATGCAGTCATTTATAAAACATACACAAACATACATACATACATACACACACACACACAACTAGACTTCCACATTGCTCCATAGTGACATTCCCAACAGCTCCTTTAAAAAACAAGAAGTACATTTCCTACTTAATGTAATGCATGGTCCAACTCATTGATCCATGCATGGGCATCACGGGGGGAGGTTCATTCAATTTAAAAATATCAAAATTGAAATTTCTGAAATGTACTTGTGTTATAATAACAATTATTAATTATAATAATAAAGTTATCGGATCAACTGAGTTTCCCATCTCAAATGGGAAATGTTTCCTACTCTCAAACTGGGCAGAAGGACACTGAGCTCCCCATTGGACAATACTGTCTAATTCTCTTAAATGATTCAGATGTAAAAGGGAAAATGGCATCTGTCTAATTAACACTGCCTGGTTAAATATAGCTGCCAAGGGACAGCCTCAGGACAGTGTTTACAGAACAGTCTTCCTAGGCCCCTGGGCCTTAAGTTCCAATTGATAGCAAGCTTTCTGTCCTTATCAGCTAGAAACAGAGATGCCCCCAGAAGTGGTAACAGGCCAGGGCAGGCGAAGCGAGCTGGAAGGAGGGGGCAAAGCTGTGGCTGGCTGCATTTCCTGCTCCTGGGAACTGAAGCCGGAAAGCTGCAGCAGCTCTCACTGCAGACATGAGAGCCAGCACTGCATGGCCCTCTGGACTGCTGGAGCCTCATTCTCCGGCCCGCAGTCATCCGCTGGGCCACTCTCCCACCCACTGCTGAGCCTTCCAGGCAGCGCCATCTGCCCTACAGCCATCCCTGGTGGAAAGGCACAATGACCACATTGTTTCTCTTCCAGCTCGGGGGATCAGGACATGGAAGCTGTCGCCAAGTTTGATTTTATGGCCTCAGGGGAAGATGAACTGAGCTTTCACACAGGAGACGTTCTGAAGGTAGGTGATGTGGACTCTAAGGGAGCAATGGGGAGCTGAGGTTCACTGAACCTGGCCACTTAGGCCATCTAACACCCCATGCCTTTGTTGCTGAGGAACTGAGCACAGTTTATGTTTTTTTTTTTGAGTTGGAGAGATGGCTCCATGGTTGAGAGCACTGGCTGCTCTTGCAGAGGACCTGGGTTCGATTCCCAGCACCCACATGGTGGCTAACAACCATGTGTAGCTCCAGTTCCAGGAGATTTGACACCCTCTTCTGACCTCCAGGGGCACTGCATGACATGTACCTATCTACATGAAGGCAATATACTCACACACATAAAATAAAAATAAATAAAATTTTAAAAGAGAGAGTTTCAGAGTCAGATGTGATGGAGCATGCCTGTAATCCTAGCATTTGGGAGGTGGAGACAGGAGGATCAAGAGTTCAAGGACAGCCTTGTCTAAACAGTGAGTTTGAGGACAGCCTGGGCTATGAAAGAAGGGGGGAGGGCAGGCATGGTGGCACATGCCTTTAATCCCAGCACTCGGAAGGCAGAGGCAGGAGGCTCTCTGTGAGTTCGAGGCCAGCCTGGTCTACATAGTGAGTTCCAGGTCAGCTGGGGGATACAGGGAGAACCTGCCTCAAAAATACCCCCCAAAAAAAAGTTGAAAGAAAGAGAAATGAAAGGAAAAAATGGGAAGGAGGGAAAGAAGGAGGGAGGGAAGAAGGAAGGAAAGGTGGGTGAGTTTCAAAGTTTTTATTTCTAGACCATAAACACATCACCCACGGATTAGACAGGATCTAGGCAACCACTTTCCCAACTAAATACAGCAGTTTTCCTCCAGTACCAAACCTTGTCCCGTTGATAGTGCCCTGAAGCCACATGGAGGAACAGGGGAGACATGTAGGACACTTTTATAGAGTTGTATAGAGTTGTGCTCCTTGTCACAATGACCTCAGATACCTGTTGGGTAAACAAAGGATCCACAGTGTGTGTGTGTGTGTGTGTGTGTGTGTGTGTGTGTGTGTGTGTGTGAATGCATGTACACATATGTGCACATACATGGACTCTAGGGTCAACATCCAATTCTTCATTGCCTGTACCTTATTTGAGACAGAGTCTCTCACTGAACCTAGAGCTCATCAATTCAGCTAAGACAGCTAGCTACCCAGTGAGCTTCAGGAATTCTCCAGCCCCCACCTCTCTGGTGATGGGATTATAGACACATGCCTCTACATGCAGTTTTTTCTATGGGTGCTAAAGATCTGAACTCAGTTCCTTAAGCTTGCATGGTAAGCACTTTACTGCTTTAGACCTTTCCCCAGCCCCAAGAGGAACCATCCTTCAGGAACCTTGCTCTGAGCACACCCCAGGGCAGGTTCTTATAAAAAGAGATATTCACTTCCCTCCAAAGTGTTTGTTCTGAGTACCCATGTGCTAGGTACTAGGTTGGATGACAGAAATACAGAATGGCATAAATCACCCTCCTTGCCCTGAGATGTTTGCAACATGGGTGGGCAGCACACACATCTCATGGGATATCACAGAGGCTCTTGGCTCAGTGCTCAGGAGCACAGGTGGGGAACATGTGATTCCATTTGTCTTGAAGGGTGGCAGGAACGTATGGCATTGTGAATGTCATCAGGAAGAACGAAGCTCAGAAAAATGTCAGGGAGCATTACCAGGCTTTGGGCAAAGAGGGTACAGGTGGGGACAGCAAGGGAGAAGCAGCAGACCCCCCCTCCCCATGGTTCAGCAGAGGCCATGTACATTCAGCTACTCAGAGGCTCCTTAAAACTTGTTTCTAGGTCCCACTTGAATTGTAGTGGCCACTTGCAGAGCTGAAGTGGCCTTGGACTTCTTCCATATTTCAGGTGTCCACTTATATACTCCAGAAGTTAGCCCCTGTGCTCTGCAAAAGAATGTAAGCCCTTCCATAGGGCATTCGGGAGTATGTATACAAGTGCACCCTTGCCTGACCTCAGGATACCTTCTAAAAGTCAGATCCCTGTGCTCAGCTGCCCATATGAGCTTTCTCAGATGTCCAATGGTGCTGGGGCTGTTACTGTGTCTGCCATAGGGAGCTCTGGTCTACACAAAAGCCCTTGTTGAAGAGTCTGTGGAGCACTTGTCACATTAGAATAGTGCAGCTTCATTTGGAATTTAAATACCTTCTGTGTATAACCTTCTATCTGCTTTCAACCTAAAAGATCTAGCCATATGGTTGATCCAGGAGCATTCACTCTGGGAGTTTGGTTTTGTTTTGTTTTGTTTGTTTGTTTTGTTTTGTTTTGGAGATGGAGTCTAGGACCAGACTGGCCTCCAACTCATCATGATCTACTTGTCTCTGCCTCCCAAGTGTTGGGATCAAAAGTGTACCACCACACCTGGCTCAGTATTTAAATTTTTTAAGCTCAAAATAATGACTAGGCTGATTCTTTGGGCCCTTACTGAGGCCATGTGTTAAGTCTGCCTCTCCCTTCTCTGTGGGATGTTGTGACCATTGAGATGTCAGGCACACCGGAGCATCCTCTGCTCCTGCCAGAGCTCACCCTTATCTTCATCACAAACAGAACAGAGCCTTAGTTAAGGTTTCTCTGTTCCCCAGAAGACAGAAAGGAAAAACAAACAAACCTTTCCTCAGCTTGTTTCCCAGTCCAGCTCCTCATTTCTGTTCTCTGCTTTGTTACCAAACTGGGGAGACTTCTCTACACTGGGTCCTCTACTTCCTCTCTGCCCATTCTCTCCACACCCCTCTGAAGTCTGCCCTTTACCCGGTAACGTCCTTCGGGTGACTGTAACACTCTACAGAGATACCTGTGGAATGGGACTCTGTGGGCTGCCCCTCTTCTGGGGCTCTTTCCCCTTGCTCAGGGGCTCCTGTCTTGTTCCCTCCCTCCTTTCCTGAGATCTCCTATGGGTCTTCTTTGCAAGTGCCTTGTCTTCTCCCTAACCTGCCTCCCTGAAGCTGTGCCCTTGGCCTTCTGAGTCTCTTTCTCCTTCTAGGCCACCACATTCCTCTAGCTCCATGCTTTGTACTTTGCTCCCTCACTGACTTCTGCCTCACACCCCAGAACTAGTTATCTGCTGGATGTTACCTCATGGACTGCAGTCCCTGACACCAGCCTCTCAGAACCCCCTACACCCACCTCATCTCAGCCTCCACCCAAACTAACCCTCTGACCAGGATCTAAGTAACACTAAAGGTCAGTCATCACACAACTCCCTTGCCAAATTCTAATGGTCAGGTCCGCCACTTACTGAACTCCTGTTCACAGCCAGGACCTACCTTGTGAGGGTTACATATTCTTGTATAAGCCCAGCAAACCTATGAGGTAGAAAGTACTTTTTCCCCTCACCTCACAACTATGAAACTGAGACTGAGGAATTAAACGACAAGTCCAAGATCACACAGACTGTGACTGAGCCAGGGTCTAGGTGGAGCTCTGTCTGACCCCTATGCACTGTCTCTACTCTGAAAACATTTCCTGAAGATGTCCCTCAAGACAGATCCTCCCCCATTAGAAAGGAGTGTGATGCCATTAAAAGAAGCTCGGGCTTTGGAACCCTATAAATATGGATTCAATTCCCAGCTTTAGAGGTACATGACTTGAACCAAGTTGCCTGCCTGCTCTGAGCATCAGTGTTCTCCTCTAAATCAGTGTTCTCCTCTATCAGTGGAGGGAGAACCTATCTTGCAGAGTCCAGGAAAACAAAGGTAATGATCCTGGCCCACTGCAGGCGGCAAGCAAAGGGTGGCCATATTATCAGTGCATCCATTCCTGCTGTCTTTGCCTGTTCAGTCTACCTCGTGGCCTCTTGACTGCCCTCACTGCCCCCTGTCTCTTCCTTCTTCAGTCATTCTGCATCCTGGTCCCAGAGGGACTTTTCTGGAAGACAAATCAGATCATATCATTGTCTTGCTCAAAAGCACTCAGTGTTCCCATTCCAAATGATTGGAACTTAAACCATCCATCTCCACAACATTGTCCAGTCTCATTACCCTTATATGCAGGCATACACACACACACACACACACACACACACACACACCCCTTTGTGTACATACTTCTCCCAGGTCCCCCTGCTCTCCAAGTGTCCTTTCCCCACACATATGTGACCACCTCTCCAGGGACCCTCTCACTTATCCTCCTTTACATGCACCCCCCCCAGCAAAACTAATCCCCCTTCTTCAGTTCTTCCCCAGCATCTCACACACTTACAGTCTTGCCTTATGTGTTGTTATTTATTAGCAG